CGGGGGCCAGCGGCCTGGCAACCACGGCAACAGCGCAGCCACGGCGGCAACGACGACGACCGCCGACCGACGTCCGACGACCCCCCGACGACCTCCGCCGCCTCCGCTCCTCCCTCTCCCCTTGTACGCCTCCGTCTTTTGGCGCTGCCCACAATTAAAGCGGCCTGCGGAGCTCACCGCCGAAGGCGGCGCTCTGCAGGCGGACCGCCGCCTTCCGGCTGCCGCAAGGGCCCCGTGCGCGGGTGCCGGTCCCTCCGGGGAGCCCTTGCGGCCGTGGCAGCCCGGGAGAGAGAGAGAGAGAGAGAGAGAGAGAGCAGAGAGAGAGAGAGAGAGAGCGGGAGAGAGCGAGGGAGAGCGAGAGAGAGCGAGAGAGAGCGAGTGAGAGCGAGTGAGAGCGAGAGAGAGAGAGAGAGAGCGAGAGAGAGCGACAGAGAGCGAGAGAGACCAAGAGAGAGCGAGAGAGCGAAAGAGAGAGAGAGCGACAGAGAGCGAGAGAGAGCAAGAGAGAGCGAGAGAGAAGAGAGAGAGAGAGAGAAGAGAGAGAGAGAGAGATAGAGAGAGAAAGAGAGAGAGAGATAGAGAGAGAGAGAAGAGAAGAGAAGAGAAGAGAGAGAGCGAGAGAGAGAGAGAGAGGAGAGTGAGAGAGAGAGGAGAGAGCAGAGAGATAATAGAGAGAAGAGAGAGAGGAGAGAGAGAGAGAGAGAGAGCAGAGATAGAGGCAGAGAGAGAGAGGCACAGAGAGAGAGGCAGAGAGAGAGAGAGGCAGAGAGAGAGAGGCAGAGAGAGAGGCAGAGAGAGAGAGAGAGGCAGGGAAAGAGAGGCAGAGACAGAGAGAGGGCAGAGAGAGAGAGAGAGAGACAGAGAGAGCAGAGAGAGAGAGAGAGAGGCAGCTCAGTCACACTTAAATCCAGATTCGTCCTCACCGAGTCCCACCACCAAGGGAGCGCCAGCAAGGAGATGCACATATGGGGATCCCCACGCAGTGATTTTTTTTTTTTTTCTCTCTCTCTCTCTCTCTCTCTATATATGACGAATCCAAGACGAAGAAACATTGGGACGAGGATGTATCGGAACGAAAATCCCTGAGACCCGGCGGTTGTGGGAGATGTTTCGCGCCCCGCGGCATTAGCAGAGCCGGAATACTCTGGAACATATTTGATCTCGTCGTAGCTCCGCCCGACTGTCTGTCTGTCTGTCTCTCTCTCTCTCTCTCCCAAAACCCCACGTCTGGATGCACCGCTCACAATACCAGGGTAAAACGTGGCAGGATATGAGTTCAACCTCGTTCTTGAACATCTGCCAGCCACTGAGGTCGATGACGATAGCATTGAACACGCTGGCGATGAAGATAACGATTGCGCTGATGAGGATGATGAATAAGTGCGCGCCCGTAGGACTTCAGAATGCTTTCGTATGTTTTTGAAAACGTATGTGTACCCATCGGTCGGAAGAAATAGGTAGAAACATGGATTAGGAAGGCGCTGAAAATAGATTGGGTGTCCGCCCGCCGCCTAAAGAGGACGAAAAAGGCGAAGCCACTCGATCATGGAAGTAGGAAGGCGCTTAAAGTAGGTTGGAAAATGGGCATCCCCCAAATACCTACTGTCAACGACCCGTGGGTAATGAATGTATGAGATGACCACTGGTTTTGGAAAGGATGTCGACGTGCGCGTGGAGAGAGGCGCGCGTGACCCGAATGTACTGCTTGACAGAGCTGGCGGGTTCGTGATGACTGTGGAGCGCTCTCGACAGGCGCGCGCGCGTGTGGCCTGCATGGCCTGTCTTGACGGACGAGCTGAAGCCTTTTTTGCGTCGGCAGCCAGGCACGGAACGTCTGCGCCGGCGATGGGATGCCTCAACGGGGAGCCCGTGAGAGCGAACTCTCTGCGCCACCATGCAAGGGGAGGGAAGGGGCGGGGGACTGCGCGGCCGAAGGAGGGGCGGACGGAGCGAGCGGCTCAGGGGGGGGGGGGGGGGGGCGGATCGCTCTCCGAGGGAGCGGCACGGACAAGCTGAACACGCACGGTCTTCGGGTGACTTCACCGGGTGCGGGCACGTCTCTGCTGTCAGGGCCAACGGGCTCTTGACATTGATTGAACACCCAGGCCGTGAACTCGTTGAAACACCTGTGGCTTTCGAGTGGTGTTGACATGCGCGCGCGGCGGCGCGCGCATGGGCCCCCCCATCGTGTTTGTGGCAAGTGGCCCTTAGAAGAGAAGCACTTCTGAAATCAACGCATGTGCACCACAAGAAATTTGTTGGAAGCGGTGGCGGAGGGGGTCGATACCTGCCTGGCTGGCATGCTGGCATGCCGTTCTATGAAGTCTGGGATGGGAGGTCGTGCAGACTCGACGTGACACAGAACAATATGATAGGGTGGGCGGGCAGTCTGCCCTCAGTTGGGGCGTGGAGCCTGACTCTGCCTTCCTTTGGGAGAAAGCATATGCGCAGGGCCGTTCGGAGACTCTGGACAACGAACGGGGCGCACACGAGGCGCCCAGCAGCTGAAGACCCGCACGATTCCCAGCTACCGAAAGAGGCGCCGGGCGAGGGCCCCCGTCTCCAGGTGTGGAGGGGGGGGGGGGGGGCACAGACCCCCGAAATCCGTGCGGACCTCGGATCACTGATGCTAGTGTAGTCTAGTGTTTCGAGGTGGGCGAGTCTGGGAGGCTTGGGTCCTCCCCGCCGAAGCCTCTGCAGATTCCCGGAGGCTCCTGGAGGTCTCCAGAAGTCTCGAGGTCTCTGGTCTGGAGGCCGAGGATCTGGCGTCGCGAGACATCGAGATGGAACATCATCGACTGTTTTGGGCACTTCGGCTTCTTCCGGGCCCCAGACCAATCACGATGCGCAAGATGAAGGCGGGTCCTAAATTCGCCGGCCCAACGGGCCAAAGGCGTGCTAAGATCTCCGGTAACTGCTAAACAATACTTCTAGTTCGCGCGCGCGGGGCGGCCCCTGGGGGTCCCCCGGCGAAAAGTACCCCGACCGCCGCCCGACCACTGCTACTCAGAGATGGTTTTCCTCCTGGGTGTGGCTTCTCAGGCCCCCCAGAGCGCGCCAAGAGTGCCCCAAGAGGCCCCCAAGACTGCCCAAAGGGCCCCCGAGACGCCTAAAGAGCGCTCCAAGACGCCGATGATGACCTCAAGACGGCCCAAGAGGCCTCCAAGTGGCCTCCAAGAGGCCTCACAAGAGGGCCCTGAGAGGCCCAAATCAGACATTTTACGATGGTTTTGAAAGAATTTGGGCCTTGTCCCCTTTTCGGCCATCCGATGCTCCAAGACGGCCCAGGAGGCCCCCAAGAGCACCCCAAGACGGGCCAAGAGGCTTCCACGAGGGCCCCAAGAGGGCCCAAGAGGGCCCCGAGACGACCCAAGAGGCGCCCAAGACGGCCCAAGACGGCCCCAAGACGGCCCCAAGAGGGGCCCAAGAGGGGGACCACGAACCAAAACCTCGAGCCTTCCGCCCCAAGAGGGCCCCAGGAGGCCCCGAGAGGCCCCAAAGAGGCCCCAAGATGCCGCCAAGAGGCCCCCAAGAGGTCCCAGGAGGCCCCCAGGAGGCCCCCCAGAAGACTTCAAAAATGCCTCCCAGGCGCCCTCGAACGGCTTCTGAAAAGACCCCAAGAGGCCTCCCAGAGAAGCATCTTGACGACGACCCTGTTTGGCCCCAAGAGCAACACAAGATGCCAACGAGAGGCTTCCTCCTCCGCCCCTTCCTCTTCCTCCTCCTCCTACTTATCTTCATCCTCCTCATCTCCTTCTCATCCTCTCCTCCTCCTCCCCTCCCCTTCCCCATCCTCATCTTCTTCCTACTCGGCGGCGCCACAATGGCCCCGGGCCCACGGCGAAGCAGTAGCGATCATGCAACATGGGCCGGCGGAATGAGCGAAGCGATTGAATAAGCGGTCGAAGGCCTGGGAAACCCACGCCAGAATCAACATCGTGACGTTGGATGTCTGGGTCAATGTTTGAGGCCTCGTCACTGCGGCCGCAGCAAGTTTGCAATTGCACAGCATTTTACCCATGCTGACTATTCTTTGAAAGGGAGGGTGCCCCCGACCGACTAGTGCGGAAATTGTATGCGCGTTCGCGCCCTGAAAGTAGCGCAAAGCAGCCCAGACGACTTACAATTACTGCTGCAGTTGTCTTCTGCGGATTGGGATGCTGTAGTTGCGCGAGTTTGCCAACCGTTGTGATTCTGACTTAACCTTCCTTCCCCCCTCCTTTCTCTCCCCTCCCCGTCTGTTCCCTCCCTCCCCCTTCCCCGTTGCGTGCTTTGCAGAATGTACTGTCGTCCGCAACCCAGCATTAAAGTGTGTGTGTGTGTGTGTGTGCAGTGTCTGTGCACCGGCGCGCTTGCATTGTCGTCTATTTTCATTTGGCCTTCGTATCAAGTGGTTTCTTGCCGATGCGCCGTCCAAGCGTGGTTTCTGTGTATGTGTGTGCGTGAAGATCACACCGCATCGCTGATGCAACAGCGGCGTCGGGACGGATAAATCGGGCTCCAAATTGCGCCTCGTCGCCAGTGCATCGCCGATGCAGCGGGACCCACCGACGTCTGCTCCAGCCCAATTTGAAAGCCGAAGGCAGGGATGGCGAGGACGAGGACAGGGAGGGGGATGTGCCCCCGCCCCTTCTTTCCGTCCTCCTTTTCCTTATTATTCTCCCCCCCTTCCTCCTCTTGTTACACCTGTTGCTCACTCGCCTCCCATCTTCATTCGCCTCCTCCTCCTCCTCCTCGTTCAGAGCAGTCAACACAGTCAGAAAGATATCCGAGCCGCAGCAGGCATAGAACAGAATTAAGCATGGCACCGCTCCTCCATCTCTTCCTCCTCCGCCTCCTCCTTCTCCGCCTCCTCTTGCCTCCTCCTCCTCCTCCTCCTCCTCCTCCTCCTCCTCCTCCTCTTGCCTCATCCTTGGTCCTCCTCCTGTCCTCCTCCTGTCCTCCTCCTCCTCCTCCTCCTCCTCCTCCTTCCTCCTGGTGCGCCGAAGGCGCGCCTTAGATCACACGGGAAGCCGCGCGACGACGCGGACAGCGGAGTAGCCGCAGCCGCTGCCGCCGCCGCCGGCTGGCTGCGGCTGCTCCCGCCTGCGTGGGCTGCTGGGCCAGGCGCGGGCCGGCTTCCCGCCTCCCGCTCCGCCCGCTGCTGCTGCTGAGGGCTGCCCCGGTCTGTGGCTCGAAGCGGTCACGGCAGTTTCGTGTCGTGAGGACTTCGGTGTTGGCTTCTGACACCGCGTGGATCGCTTGATCTATTTTCCAATGACACGCAGCTCCCCTCATGCGCTATTACGCCTCAAAATGAAGAGGACACGCACTGCCACTACACGTCGTCCCCCAAACGACAGCGCAGAACAAGCCTGATGCCCGCGGCCCCACACGCAGCCCGTCGTCGAGGATGCGTGCAACAGGAGGGAGGAGCACAACGGCGGAGGACGCGGGCCGGGGAAAGAGACCGCGGCGTCGTAGGGCGGGAGCCTCATGGCCCAACCGGCCACTTAACTGACCCGCACCACAGCAGCTAGGAGGGGGAGGGAAAGAAGAGAGAGAGAGAGAGAGAGAGCTGGAAGAAGACCCCAAGAGGAAGAACAGCTCGTGCGTGCGTAGACCGCGTACCCAGAGCATTGCCAGAGGAGGTGCTCGCACAGAAGGCCGTCACGAGCCCAACGGGTAAAGACAAAGCCGCCCATCCAGCGAAGGGGCCGAGCGGGAATCGCGCCATCGCTCCAGGCCACCTCGCGATTCGTGCAGGACCCTCATGCGGCTCAACTTGGGCGTGCGGACAATCTTGTAAAGGGGGGCCCATCATGTGATTTCTCAGGTAGCGGCGCGGCTTTGCACAGGCGGCGCACCGCCACCCCGCGGCAGGGCCCCCCTCCCCCCAACAAAAACCAGGTCGCGGGCAGCGGCCAGCAGAGGATGCCAGGCCAAACGGGCAAACACGAAGTGCCGCGAAGGCTATCGAATCGCTGAGGGGCGAGGAGAGGGACGAAAAGAAGAGCGGAAAAAAACAAACGGGACAATGCGAACGGCCATGCAAATACAACGGACACTGTGGAGCCGGACATAAAGCGTGCAAGGGACGGGACGCTCTGAGAGCAAACCACCCTTGACGCCCCCATGACGCTGGGTACCGCCCCGTGGGACGGGGGCCAGCGCAAGTGAACATACCAAATGCCAACTGTTACATGCAATGCACAACGCCAGATGGAACATCGCATGGATCGTTAAAATATTGAACGATCGGTGGCTCTTCGATCGCCATATTGCTCCCATGGTGGCCGATTTGGGGCCACTGGCGGCGCTCAACCTTGAACGCCCGCGGCGGGGTCGCGGCCGCGTCGACACGGCACAAACCTGACGTGCCTCCTCCCTGCCGTCAGGGCAGGCAAAGGGTCGTTCGCAGAGGCCCCCCCACATGGAGTCGGAGTAGATGGGGTCGGAAGATCGCGCCGCATCGCCGATGCATCGGCGACGTCGGCGATGTACCAGCCACGTCTGCGAGGATAAAATCTGATCCCACATCGAACCACGCCGCTGATGCATCGGCGGTGCGGCGCGATCCTCTGACGCCATCTAAGTCTGAAATGACGCTGGCATCTCATATAGCATCCAATTCCATGTCGAAGGGATACGATATGGGGAGTGGATGGATAGGTTAGGATAAGATCGATGTAATGATCTTTCCAGCACATAGCGAACGCTAAGGTAAGTGTCCAGGCAAATGGGGCGCGCGTGCCTTGAGCCAAAGGCAGCGGCGCGCAGGCTATACTCCCGATCCTCTATAACATCTCCCACCTTAAAGTCGGGATGGGAGGAGACGGAGAGTAAAGCCGCGCAGCCGCTAGGCTCTAGAAAGGCCGCGCGCAGAACTGTTTGCAAGGGAAACAGTGCGCACAGTCTGGCCTACCACCAGACTGAAGGGCGAAATTATTCGCCGGCGAGTTTCCTCGCAAAACCTTTCCACGCACACGCAGGATAGCCCCTTGGATATACAAGGGCTATCGGCCCGGCCAGAGGTAAGCCAAACAGGCTATTCCCCTCCAGGCACAAGGGGTATTAAGGCAAAGAGCCTGAACCAATCTGAACAGGCTCGCTGCCAAGCGTGAAAAGTATGGCTCGTTTCCGAGCGTCTAGGAGGGCGCCTCTGTATTAGGCGCCCGTGCTGGCAAACTGGACCGCGGGGGCAACCAGGACAGACTAAAACTGATTCGGCTTAGGCTTGTTTCTGTCCTCGGGGACACGAAAGGAAACAAACTGTTTCACGTCATACTTAAATGACTGAGTGCCTGACATCACTTCCAAAAGCAGCTCCCGATCGATACCCCCCTTTGTATGCCCATCTGCGGTCATGTCTCTAGTGTCACACCGCTGTACGTTATGCACTATGCCTATATCCATGAGCTCACGTATCCAGCTGATATGTCCCAGCAAAGTCCGTTCCGTCGGTATCTTAAGATCTTTGCTGGATAGCGATTGGTATACACACTCAGCGTCTATAGTAAGGGATACTTTGATAGCTAGGCCTCCAACTTCACGCATATCTCGTAGTTGTCGTGGAGTCAGTGCTCCAGCCTTGAGCTCGTGGAGAGTGATGGGCGTGGGATAACACTCACCAAGACAACACTCACCAAGAACAGCGGCATAGCTGGACCTCACCTGCGGTCGGTGTGATTTGCATAGTCCGTCGCAAAGGTGAATGACGGATTTGCCTTGAGGCGAGTTTCCTCGCCGTAATACGTTAGCCCCACGAATGCCGTGGCCCTTGGTTTCATCGTCCTCCTCCCCGGTGAGCTTCCGATGCCCCGAATCACTGTGTATGTCTACTTCGTTCGTCGGTTTCACCCGAGGGAGGGTGGTGCGTTTCGGGCTGCTGATCAGCTTTCGCATCGCAGCATTCAGTCGTCTGACTTGTAAGTTAGTGGGCTCTTGGATCTTCTGGAGAGAGACCACATACACCATAAGCCAGACTTGAGTAAGAAAGGCATAGGCGAGAGCTCCTCGCAGGCTAACGAACATGTCGGTGATGAGTTTGGTCGCTTTGGCGTCTGCCGCCGCTCCCGTAAGTTCAGGGTGCGTGATAGGACGTAGTTGTTTAATGTACTCGTCCTGGTCCATGATCACATCCCCTTGTTCATTCTTCGTGTAGCGAACGGCGCAGTTCGTGTAATAATGTTTGTTGAGCTTGCACTTACCAAACACCTTTTCGACGCGTTGTACATAGTCATCTACGTTTTTCTCTAGGCCTGTCATATTGATGTCGTCGACATGTTTTGCCGTTAACAGATCCTGGTTGAATTCGAACTCAGGATCGTAACTTGTCGGTGTAAGGCCTATAGCTCGTGTAGTCGTACGAAGCTTGAGGGAGAACGCTCTTGGGGCGTCCTTTGTACCCGTTCCTGGCTTGAGGCACCTGAGGCGGCGTCGGCTTTCATCGTAAGAAGAGAAGCCTGGTAGTGTACGAAGCACCTGGGCACTTCCTGGCGGAAGGGCGAAGCAAACCATGCGAGTTTCCTCGCCGGTGGCATGAGCAAGTTCCTCATAGGTCAGTCCTTTGAGGAACGCTTTGTCGATGTCCATAGATGCTAAGATCCATTCTGGACGACATGCCGCCTCACTTGCCATGAGCCTCTGGGACTGTCTTCGAGCAGTTCCTGAAAAGGTTTCTACATCGAAAGCCTCCGTGTCCATGAATCCGCGGAGGACAAGTCTGAGACGGATAGTTTTAACATTCTCGGTGCCTGCCTTCACAAACTTCCCCTTGTATACATATCTGGATGTCATGATGTTGGAAGCTTTAGATAGGTCATGCATCTCAAAGCATCGGTTGTCAAGCCAGATCTTGAGTTCGGTGTGCAAGGCTTCACTAACCTCTTTAGGATGTGCTGCTATATCGGCTTTGGTAAGTAGGTCGTCTTCCTTGACTACCACAGCACGTTTAGCAGCAGATGATACATATACTCTCATCGTTGCGAACATGTCTGTTTCAAGCTGTGCAAGTTGGGTCTGATCAAACACTACCTTTGACATTTCTGGCGTGAAACATAGCTCAACATAGGGACCACTGTCATCACTGTCAAGAGAATAGCCCTCGTCAGGCGTAGTCGAGCATAGAGAGATAAGACAGGGCTCTTGTAGTTCAGGCTCGTCTCCGAGCATCTCCGACACTACGGTATCTTCATCGTCCACGGATGCCGAGACCAAGACGCACTGGTCGGGCAGCATGGTTGTTGGGACGCAGTAGAGATAGTCGTCGATAACCGTTGTGGGATGAAGGTCCATACGTAACTCATCGTACCACTCCTCCACCATCATAGCCTCGATGTCGTGTTCCTCGCTTTCTTCGTAGATTGTAAACAGGCGCCCTTCACTTGGTGATGAAACACCTGGGGTGTCTGGAGGAGGCCTGTCTCCAGGCTGGTCGTGTTCTCCAGACGTTGTGCCCGAGTGCTGATACTTAGCAAGGTCGTCATGAAATCCTAGGGAAGGAACTTGTGACGTCAGGCACTGGACGAGTCTGGAGTGAGTGCTACCAGTGATTCGAGAGATGTTCAGGCCGGTGCCCACACACTCATAATAGTGGAAGGCTGGGTTAACATCGTTGTCGTAGTGGATCAGTGTAGACCCGGTGGCGTACTTTACTGCAGGTAGATTGGACACGCTCTTGGCCAATCTCACGGCTACTACACGTTCAACTCGGAAATAATTTCGCACGAAATACTGCAGTGCAAAGTGTACGCGCGGGTGAAACTTGCTGTCGTCGGAAAGATTGAGGCTCCCCTTGCAGTCTGGATGGAATATAGCCAAAGACTGTGGCAGGTTTCCCTGCGCCGAGATGTGCCACATATGTAAGGACAATTTGCATGGCCACGTTGTCCATGCCAAGTTCCCTGGTAAGAAGGCATTCAATGTATAGCGTGTGGCGAGCATCAGGGTACATTACAATTACCTCGCGCGATCCTGCCTTGGCGACGACGTGTCCTCGTTCAGGCACGTTGCGGATCATGGGAAACGGGCCATTCCAGCCTCCATGGTCGTCCTTAGTGGCTGTAGGTCGGTGATAATCGACCAAGTCCCCAGCTGAGTACAGG